TAACAAATATTTTTAGGTTAAATAACTCTTCACCGGCCGTTTGAAAATAACAAAATTAACATTGCTCTTTAGGCATGCAAATCCAAGATGTCCGTTGGCTTCCATGGACTCCCTTGGAAATACAATCAAAACAAGAAACAATATTTCTAATCCCAAAATATACTAGATATTTACATTATAATTACTTTGGAGTTTGAAAAACTATTTTTCGATACTCTACTGAGAAATGCCATGTTTTCGTTACATGTTTACCACATACGAAAATTCACAATTTCATTGTTTACAACAGCAAAAGAATGTTTACTATTTGAGAGTAATGTTAACTATCTTTTTTTATTTTGCCGAAGTAAACAAACAAAGATTTGTTTTTGTTTTGTCAACCGTATCAATTTTCAACAACCAAAACTGTACAAACTTAAAACCAAAGAAAATATTAAATTCAAATTAAAGTCATAACAAAAAAATGCTGAGTTTTGTAATGTTCATAACTGTAATAAAAATTAGTCTTTTTAGTGTATCTAAAATAACGTTTAAAACACGAGTGAAAGTGGGTCTAGAAATATTCTCGACCATTTAAAGTGCACGCTAGACACCGCTAAAGACCGAGACACCATTAGTGGCTATAGAATAGATATAAGGGGGGAAATCAATTTTGGAGGGGGTAATTTGTATATGGTCCTTTTTATATTCATACCATGGTGTTAGCTCTAATACAGTAAATTTCCGTGCGCCCATAGAACAGGTAAAGAATTTGTTATAACCTCGTACAAGTGGTAAAATATATTAAAATCTGACATGACACTTAAATTTTGGGGGTCAAGGAGTAAAGTTATGAAAAAACATGTAAAGAGTAAAATTTAAAGCAAAGTGGAGAAAGCATTAATAATATAATAAAAAAAAATACTTGGGTAGGAAAACATTGCGAATACTATTAACCGAAATATATTTTTAACAGTTTTTGAAAGTAGGATGTTTTTTAGGGGCGAAGGGGTGAAATATTTGGAAAACACACAATTAGGTTTTTTTAAATATTTAATTCGTGACCATGAAAATTCATTCATATCTTGACTGGCTCTTATAGTTTTTATGCTATAGCCATTTGTGAGTCAAGAAATAAAGGTGCGAAAAATTATTAAGTCACTAAAATTTAAAATAAACCAGATTAAATACAAAACATTAATAATATTTGCAAAAATGATTTACCTAAGTAACTTAAGTTGGAGAAAGTAGCGAAAACCGTTAAAATATTTAAAAACATTTCCAAATTGTAAAAGTAGGGGTTTTTAAAGCATAAGGATACACCAAAGAATAACTAACCTGCTCTAAGTGTTGTAATATAGACGCAGTAGCATACTGAGTAGCACAGAAGGCGGGTTACAGGAACCAACGTTCATTTAAACACCGGTAAGTTAGCTATTAGCATTCATTTAACTAGGTAGAGGTAGTTAGGATGTATCGCAACAGTATAGTTATCTACCATGGACGCGTGACCGCTTTCACTTGCCGCAATAGCTTTATAACAACCTCTTGCTACACAGCTACAATATTTTAGAGATTTATACATATAATATATACCAATATTATCTAATAACTGCTGTTGTAGCCCAATGGATAAGGTATCTAACCTTCGTCTAGGAGACCGGCTTCGATCCCTGGTCGAAGAACACACTTTTTATCCAATATGTTAATCTAAAACAAAACTACCTTCGTATGCAATACGTAAACTAGGGTTAGTATGTATACAAGTGAGGTTATGTCATTTGGCGGGAACACTTGGCAGGTGTAGCAGATTATCAGCTGATTTACCTAAGGTGTCAAGTGATTGAAATGGAGCATTCTGATTGGTCCCCGCAATCCAGGCTTACCCTACTTTTACCTCCTCCTTTCATATATGAAACCCGTTTCAAATTCAAAATTGAGCACTTTTCTTGGTTTTGGAGTTTTTGGGTGGCAAAGGACCTTTGTTTTCCTGTCATGTTGGGAGCGGACTTAATCAAGCAAACTGGCATAATTTTGGATGTAGGTAGAGGACAGTTTTTTTTTTTTTTTATTTGCGAGACGGGTATTAGTTTTTTTTCACTTATGACATTGTTTGTGGTGCTGCGGTAGTTGAGCGTGATATACCCATCAAGCAAACAATTGATCCGTTTGGGCGTCTGAATCCTTGTAAGGCTGAAGAAGAACCTTGTGTTCTCGTTTCCCTGACGTGCTAACGCTAAAGCTCGAAATCACCGACCTGCTAGAGTATGAGATTCGTCTGACAGACAACCGTTCCGTGCGGTTCTCATCCATACAAATTAGCTCCACCCAAAATGGAAACACATCGAAAAATCGTTGATGAACTTTTTTTAAATGGTGTCTTTGGACCGTCCCGTTCTAGCCACGCAAGTCCGGCAATGCCCAATGGCAAGTCCAGAATAGGACCATTCTGGACTTGCCATTGGGCATTGCCGGACTATCGCAAATTGAATGCACAAATTGAAATCGACTCTGTGCCTTTCCCCGATTTGCATTCAGAGTTTGATTGTTTCGGTAAGGCAAAATATTTGTCTGTTTTCGATCTGAATCAGGCCTATCATCAGATTCCACTGAAACCAGAGTCTCGAACTCTCACTGCTCCTATGTACCATGGAATTTGTACCAATTCACACGAGTTCCAATGGGTCTAGCTGTGGGGCCCCAGACTCTCACCAGACTCATTGATTCCATATTTCATGACGTCAAGTTCAAAATTTTGTTCAATTGTCTCGACGATCTTTTGGTGTACAGTGAGAGTATCGAAGACCATCTGATTCATCTAGTAGGAGTAATGATCAGATTGAATAGGGCTGGCCTTACCGTAAATTCTGACAAGGTTAGTTTTGCGAAGCCGGAAATTTCAATCAATTATCAATTATTTAAGATGGGGAGGCCACTATATGCGTATTTTAACCCAAATATGAGTGAAGGATGAGTGTAGGATGAGTGGCGCGATCTTGTAGTCTTGTTAGTGACTAAGGCCGACATGTTCCTTAGACACAGCTGTTAATTAATAGCCCAAACAGCTAATGCCAACTAAGGGACCTACAGTTTAGACTGGAATCCGAACTACATTCTTTCCTTGGTAGTTAACGAATTGGTCTAAATTTAGGATAGTACTGCGGATAGTCGAGTACTCACTCGCGCAGACGTTAATCCACACCAGGGAGCATCGCATCTACAGTGCATGCCTATAAATATCCACGATTTGGGACCTCCTAGTAGCTGGATTACAGGACGACGCCACCCGTCCCGTTCCTTGGTTATCTAATTTCCCATAGAGGTGTCTGCATTGACCCTGAGTTGGAAGTGCGCTGAACCAGAAAACCTGATAAATCCTTCTGTCCCCTGTGTTCTGCGAAGTTCTTTACCTTAGTAAATTTTCAAGGTCTGGCCAGATCAAACCCTGGGAGTGAGATTTCCCATTTAGTTTGATAGTTCCTTGGCGTTCCCCACACCAGACACCTGAGTTGTCAATGATGTCGTATTTATTCAGGAGGTGGGAGAGTGGCCTTGTTTTTCCCTTTGGAGAGGAATGTCCGCTTTTGGGGGGAGAGGTTGAGACATGACTACATTTTACTGACGTCATGACTCATTTTCAGTGTTCAAGTTGTTTTGTATAGTGTATGTTTTGCCATGTAACTGTTCGACGTGTCCAGTGAATCTGTGTATCCCGCCCTACTACCTACCCCTGTCGTTCAATCGTCATAGGCTCCGAGATCGCGCAATTGAGAAAATATAGAAATATTATTTTATCCACACACATCTACATTTTTGTGTTCTTTTATATGCTAATTTTGATGGATTACTAAATTGTGTGTTTAGTTTCCTTCTCTACAATGTTGTTTTAAACCGACCGAGGATATACGAAAGACAAGTTTTGGATAATTTTCTCTGTACTTAGGTTAGTTGCCCTGAGAAAATTGTTTCCCTTGCTTTGAGCCAAGGACTTAGGTGAGGTGAACTGTTTGTTGCTTAGTTTTGTAATTTCATTGTTTTTTTACATTCCCCCGAATGCTAGGACAGAAATTAACTGGAAAATGATCGGTTGAAAGCCGCTGTTTGAGAGAAACTGCCCAGTCAGTCCTTAGTATTTTGTCTGTTCAAATCTAGGCCTAAGCCTAGATGATGTTCTTTAATTGTAAATGTCTTAAGCTACTACCTTTTGTAAATATTGTTTTTTATGTCCCGTAAAAAATTGTGTTTGTTTTGTCTTGTAAAAAAACTTAGTTTGTGTTACTTAGTCAAGTGATTTGAAATTTAATTCTGTTGCCTTGTCCTTGACAAAGAAGTTAAATTTAGCTGATGTGTTTGCTCATAAAGGTCCCCTGAGGGTTTAAGTAAATTTAGTAAAGAATTAAGGGAGCTTTGAACAGTTTGGTGTTTGGCAAGTTTTCAGTCAGGTTGTCAAGGATAACCTGAAGTCCCACTGTTCTCAGTCTCTGATTTAAGGCTTGGCATGGCCTGGACTATTTCCACCGGCTTTAAAGACCATTCCGATTAAATTCTGACAGTAACCTTTGCAGTTGTTAACGATAATACACGGGTTGTCACACTAGCATAGAAACGTTTACGGCTGTTCCTGAAGTAATTTCTGAGTGTAAATGGGATTGTTTTGTTTTTTACTTTGACTTTTGCCACATTGAACCAGGTAAATTATTGATTTTGTGCCAATTAGTGATATTTGTCAATTTAACACATCCATCTATCCTTCTGGCAATTTGTTTCTCAAATATTAAATGTTTTTTTTATTGTATTTAGTTGATATCTGTTTAAGTGTCTCGATTAAATTATTAAATATTGTTTAAATAATTATAACCTTTTAAAGAAACAAACTTTGGAAATTTGGATTTTTTTAAAATGCATACGGTAGGCCTAACTCAGTGAAATTTTGGAAACTGGTGACAACAGTGAATGTGTGGCAGTGAATTTTGCGGAATATAGACCTTTTTCTACTGTGTTTCTGGGGTTTGTTACTCAAGGCCCCGGAGGAGGACTATGGACTAGCCACATCAACCTCGGTGGAGAGGAAGTTTACACCTTGGCTACCTCCTGTACAATGGCCCCCTCTCCACCCTGCCTTGTTGCCCCTCTGGTGCTTTGCCCCCGCCAAGAAATAAACCTTAAGCTGTCTCCCGCTAGTTTTGTGTTAATTATTTCGTGTAATGTATACATATAAATTTATCCAGAAATTAATGGTTGCCGATGGAAAAACTTTATTTATTGTTAAATTTAAAAATACAGAATTTAATTTATTGTTATTGCTTTTTTAAATTTTACTCTATACTTATTTTTTCATCTAATTAATTTATTAAAATTAGGCCCTCTAAAAGGATAATCAATTGTGTAACCAAGACTCAATGCTTATAAAAAAGGAATATCCTATCTAGTAATTTATTTTGAAGATAATTCTTTATTAAATTATTTTGATTGAAATGTTTTTTATAATTAAAAAATTGCTGTAAACTAGTAGGTTAGAAGGGTAATCCTAAATTATTTTTTGAGTTTAATTTTTTTATTTTTTGAGAACGATGTCTTATTGTTGATCATCGTTGCTGTTTGTTTAATTAATGTTTATTACAGCTCGTTTTTCTAAAATAGCACATTGTTCTTGGACCTTACTCCACGGTTTTTCATGGTGTTTGGTACATTTGGTACAACAAATTCCTCGTCCCTGCACATGGAATCACGCGTCCATGTTGTTTGTCTGGGTGTAGGTGCGAAGGCGTGGTTCACACTCTAATCATCATCCGAACCAATAGGCGAATGACTCATTCGATAAATTGTAATTCGTCTATTTGGTCTGATTCAGAGTATATTGGGAAATAATATTAGGGTACAATATTTATTTAAAGGTTGTTCCGAATTTTTAGTTGGACCTTTGGAATTTTTATACAACTTAATCTTGATAACTAATATATTTCCCGTAAGATGGAAAACAACCAAAGTAACTCCAATTTTTAAGAGTGGAAAAAATCCAAAGTTTTGAATTATAGACCGGTAGCAGTGTTATCTGTACCGGCGAAGATATTTGAGATTATTTTTCACAAATATTTATTCAGAAATTTTCATAAATACATTTCAAATGACCAGCATGGGTTTGTCCCAGGAAGGTAAGTCAAACACAAATTTATTAAATTTTACTATTTACGTTTCCACTGGTCGCTGGGGCTCAGACAGACACTTTGTTTCTTGATCTGGCCAAAGAGTTTGATAAGGTTGACCATTCAATTTTGTTGCAGAAACTGCATTGGTATGGCATGTCAAATAATTTATTGCATTTTTTCAAATCTTACAATGTGAATAGGAAGCAATTTGTTTTCTATCATGAATTTTCCTCTGCTGTATTTAATGTCCAATCTGGAGTTCCCCAGGGTTTGAATCTAGGGCCTTGTCTTTTTACAATACTAATTAATGATCTAAGTGACTGTATTTTAAATTCAAATTCACTTCTATTTGCCGATGATTACAATAGTAGAAACAAACATCTCTTTTCGTTGCCCTACAGCCACACCACTGCCAATGCCTCTTCACCCCTCTATCGATTAATGAAAGGCTACAATTTCGTAGTAAAAAAGTCCAATAATATTGACATTTTCTCTGAAAACAATTTCAAATTAAAATTAAAAACAGTATTAATAAATCAGTAAATGTTAATCTATCTATTTTTTCGTTGTTCTATTTATTTTTACTACTCAGTATTTTTATATTTATATAATTTATCACTGTAAATATTTTTAAAATATATATACATTGTTGTTATAGTTATTGAACATTTTGTTGCTTGGCATGAAAGTGTAAGTAAACGTGAAGTGAAAAGACAAGAAGAAACCCAAGTGCATGAACTGCTTCAATGTAAATGGTGTTTAAACTGTATTGAAGCATGTAAATAAAATAAATCAAATTATATTTATTTTTATTATATTTCATATTATGTATATTTACCGTCTTGGTAAGTTAACAGTATAGGCGTAAATATATTATGTTTTAAGTGTTATTGGGCGTATCTTATATTAATTACTTCAAAACAACAAAACTAATATATTTCAACAAACATAAAGTAATTTGTTTAAAAAAGGCAACTGATGAATGATGAGGCCAAAACTACATAACGATATTGCAAATTATTAAAACTAGAACAATCCCTGGCAAGTTAGACATTATGAAGAGGGTGTTGTTGAAACACACTGTAAAGCAATTGCTTCAGTAATTAGTTATATTTAACTAAATAAAAACAAATTAACTATTTTGAGCTGACCATGGACCATAAAGTCACGGCTTAACTGTAGACTATGTAGACTTGTCCTGCAATACCGCACATGCTCCTGTGGTTCCTGGCCATCATAATGTATCCCCTCATTCCCCAGGAGGTGCCCCAGGAGTTCTTCACCAACCAGAAGTCTCCTCCCTTCTTGGCAGTTCCGTACCCGACAACCAACACTGCTTGGTTGTAATAATACGAATTACAATTAGGATTCGTGTATACTCCTAAAACCATAACATTACAGATTCAATGGTGAAAAAAAACTAGAAGCTAGGAAAGAGCTAGCTATAATTGTAGTATTCAAGATAGAAAAGCTTGGGCCACTGCTGTAGTCTGTATGAAAAGCTTAGCTGTCTTCTGACCCTTCTTGTATCTGGGACTGACCCGGGCTTAAAACCTTTGGCCAGTCGCTAGAGGGAGTTAATCACTGTCTGCATCTTTCCTTCTGTCAAACGATTGGCCGGTATGCATAACACAAGTAAATCATAACTTTTATTTTTTGTCTGGATCACGTCACCCGTTCTTGCACCCAAACGAACCAAATTTGAAGCATGTTCCAATGGTCAGAGGCGGAGGGTGGCTCACAGCCCTACCTAAGAAAACTACAAACCATGGAGGAAGGGTTCAAGAACGACGCACTGTTTGAGAGAAAGAGTTGGCGGAATTGTACCCCCTGGAATTGTACCCCCGCAAGGTAAGTGACGTCACGATGACGTCTCATTTTCTCGACCAAAACGGCGTGTATAGGCTGAAACTGTACCCCAACATAAAACTTTGATATCGTTATGCACGAGTGGTTCGATAAAATCCATTTCCATCTACAAAACTACATAGACTGAAATTGTACCCACTTCAGTTAGAACTCACGTTTATTTTAAACATTTTTTTTACCATCCAGAATGGGTCAGTGTACGGGGTGAATTTGGACACCCCTGGAATTGTACCCTCCCCCTATTTGTCAGTGATTAATAATTGAGTGGCATCGAAAATAAATAGAATATAATGTTCGTTCAACTCCAAGCTTAGACTATACTTAAAAACGCAAAACATTGTTTTTATTTGGCTTTACGGTAATCATTAAAATTGTTATGATTAAGGATTAGGTACCAAAAAAAACCTATACCATATTTAATATCAATTTTAAGAACCAGAGGCTATAAAATATACTGGTGTACCTGTTGCTCGAATTCGAGTAATTACGAAGTATAACTGGCGTTATTTTAAAAATAATAACAGTCATGATTTCCGATTAACTTAAAAGAGGCGACTACAAGATTATAACAAAACTCAAGATGTACATACCAGTTTGATGTAATCAACATTTCTTTTAAATATCTTATCCTATTTCAAAAGCTGATATTTTTTAGTGTTTTCTACGAATGTTTCCCACTCATAGCCGCATTATGTTGTTCATCAAATTTGGTGCGATGATAGCTCACATTCCCGATTGACATATAGACGCATTCTTATCTCAAAAGTCCTTTCGGGCTCCATCCCAGTGGCTCTGGAGTTTCCCATGTTAACCTTATGAGTAATCTTGTATATTAAAAATATTTAGGTTTTCTTTTCCGAGTTTGTTTGGCTCTTCTACCCGACCGATATTCATGATTGAGGTCTCAAATGTAAGGTAAGCACGCACAGATTTGTCATCAAGCATCGGCATATATTTATCTATAATTCCACTCGGCTTATACGTAAACAAAATTTGCTCCCCATGTATTTCTTATGGGGGTTAAATTTGGTTTTTCTTTTCCGAGTTCGTTTGGTTCTTCTACCCGACCAATTTTCATGATTGAGGTCTCAAATTGAAGGTAAGCACGCACAGATTTGCAATGAAGCATCGGCATATGTTTATCTATAATCTCACTCGGCTTATACGTAAATGAAATTTGCTCCCCATGTATATCTTATGGGAGTTAAATTTGGTTTTTCTTTTCCGAGTTCGTTTGGTTCTTCTACCCGACCAATTTTCATGATTGAGGTCTCAAATTGAATATATGCACGTACAGATTTGCCACCAAGCATCGGTATATATTTATCTATAATCTCACTCGGCTTATACGTAAATGAAATTTGCTCACCATGTATATCTTATGGGAGTTAAATTTGGTTTCTCTTTTCCGAGCTCGTTTGACTCTTCTACAGGACCAATTTTCATAATTGAGGTCTCAAATTGAATATATGCACGTACAGATTTGCCACCAAGCATCGGTATATATTTATCTATAATCCAACTCGGCTTATACGTAAACAAAATTTGCTCCCCATGTATTTCTTATGGGAGTTAAATTTGGTTTCTCTTTTCCGAGTTCGTTTGTCTCTTCTACCCGACCAATTTTCAAGACTGAGGTCTCAAATTGAAGGTATGAACGCACAGATTTGCCATCAAGCATCGGCATATATTTATTTACTATCCCACTCGGCTTATACCTAAACGAAATTTGTTCCCCATGTAATTCTTATGGGAGTTAAATTTGGTTTCTCTATTTCGAGTTAAACGAACTATTGTATGCCTATTAGCCTACTCGACTAAAAAACATAATTTGATTAATTTTTGGATTCTTACCTCAATTTAAGATGTAGTTCACCAGTTAAAATTATATAATCCTATATATAATTTGGTCTAAGAACCTTCAGTGAAATGCCGGCTTTCATTTAAGCTATAAGTTGTTCAAATCGGACGATTTTCAAGCGAACTTAAGGTGTGCTTAAGTGTGTACGTAAGCAACTGCTTGACAGTGTTTAATTTACGTAACATAACTTGCACCTCACATTGACTATTTACATTTAGGTTAATTAATTTAGTAATTGTGTTTTGTCACACTTATGCTTAAATTAAACTAAATGATGTCATAACTAAATTGTCTGCGGTTGATTTTTGTGTTTTAAAATCTGTATTAAATTTTTATACAATAGAACGATATGTAGATAAGTAGATAGTAATGTGCCGATCCTAGCGCAAAAAGTACGAGTTCAGAAAACCAATGTAAATTCTCTGTTTTTGACAGAAAGAAATTGTTTGTTCTATTAATTAAAATATACTTAATCTTCCTTTAAAATCCATCGAAGTTTTGTTGAATTTGCATTTATTTATTAATAAAATTTCAAATAAACTTTAGAAAACTGTTGTTGAATAATCAAAAGTTTACTAAAATAAATTAAATTTGCATTACATTTTTATATAAAAAAGGGGGTTTCAGTAGAGTTTAAGTTTTTTAACTGTCATTAATATGATTTAAAATTAATTCAATTGTATTACTTATTTTTCCTTTATAATAAATGGAGAAGAAATGTTTAAGATGTAAATTGTTAAAAGATGTATCAGAGTTTTCAAAAAGAAAATCGGCAAAAGATGGATTATATTATTACTGTAAGGAATGTGATAAATTATATAGAACTTACTTATTTAAAGTAATTATTAAAGTAGGAATTATTAAAGTAATTGAAAGAAATCAAAAAGAGTGTTTAAATTGTAAAGAAATTAAAGATATAGTAAATTTTTATAACTCGAATTGTAGTAAGGATTAAAAGTTAGCAATTTGTATTGAATGTAATAGAGATATGTTTTTAAAACCACAATTATGTGAGTGTGGAAGAAATATTAAATGGGTCAATAACTATTTAAGACATTTAAAAACTAATATTCATAATAAAAATATCACTAAATAAATAATTTAATAATATTATTAGACATTTTGCTAGTTTAAAAAGTTTTGCTATTGTTAATATTCTAAAGAGTTGTTTTTAGAAAATATTGAAATAATACTTTAGAATATTTAAATTAATCAATAATTAGTTGATAATTTAGTTGATTTTATTGAAAAAATACTCTAGATATTTTTAATCTCTTATATTAATACGTGAGGGCTGTTTTTTGTGAACAAAACTCCTCCGTTATTTCTGGACCGATTTTAACGTTTGAGGTGTCAAATGATTCGTCTCAATTTGTAGTTTTGCATAAAGGTTTTTGAATTCAAAATCTCTAACCCTTAAGGGCACGAGACGCTCTCAAAAGTTGCATTTTTCCCATAAGAATTACATTGAAAAGAAAAAAACAGCTGTATATAAAAATAAACTCATCAGAGTTTTGGGAGTAAATATTGATGTTTGTAATATTTAGGAGGTCATAAACAAAATCTAAACAGTTAATCAGTTTTGTTGGAAGAACAGAAAATTTCTTGACTCTTAAGAAGAAATATTGAACACACGAGGAGGAGACAATTAATAGGAAATCTTATGGTTATGAGAAGAGTAGGAGAGAGACTTGATCTGACAGTAAGGAATCCAGGAACACAATCACTTGGGGAGATGAATCATTTTTGCCAGTTATGCTAAGCAACTTATTTTGGAAGTAAAAAAAACCATGAAAAATATACAGATCATGTTGTCACAGTGGTAAAGTAAACCTACCTAAAGTCAGATCAAATAAATATATGCAAGAAATGTTTACTGGTAACAGCTTTAAGTCGGGAATCATTTGTAGAAAACACACAAAAATAAGCCCGGGACCATGAAATGCTAAATATTTTTACAAGAAGCGTTTATTTATTATTTCAAAGCGCTATTAAATAGCGTAAGTATTTTAATTAGCTACATAAGCATTTAGTCGGGTCTTTTAAACTCATCGAAAATTATGACTGTTATTACTGTAGTTTCAAATTAACTTCTTTATAATACCGGTACTTGACAATTGCTCGATTTCGAGCAACAGGTACACTAGTCGACTTTTAATAACTGATATCTTGAAAATATTGAAAAAAAATACTCTAGAAGTTTTAAATTGAATCTTAATAACTGATACCTTGAAAATATTGAAAAAAATACTCTAGAATATTTAAATTAATCAACAATTAGTCGACTGCTGATTTTATTGAAAAAATACTCTAGAAATTTTAAACCTACTCTTAATAACTGATATCTTGAAAATATTGAAAAAATACTCTAGAAAATTTTAATTGACTCTTGATAATTGATCAGTCTTAAAAATCTTAAAAATTTTTTCAATCTTAAAAATATTGAAAAAACAAGCTAGAAAATATAAATTGACTAGTAATTAGTTGATTGCTGATTTTATTGAAAAAAAAAAACCTCTAGAAAATATAAATTGACTAGTAATTAGTTCATTGCTCATTTTATTGAAAAGTTGTTTTGCAAAAATTTTCCTCTAATAAATGGAACGACAAAGTAAAAATATTTTATGCGCTTATTGCATTACAAATATATA